CCATTAGTTTACCTACTTTTGGGGGGCTTACGTACACCCTACCTCTAGGTTCCGGTGAAACCTGAAAGCCTAAACCCTCCTCCCCTCTACCCGAAACCCTGAACCTTCATCCCCTAATCCTGAAACCCTAACACCAATCCTTAATCTCGACATTCTAATCTAATAATATGTAAATAATACCTAATCCCGAAACCGCGGGCTCCGGGTGTCTTGCGTACGCCTTCGGGCCTTTGAAGTTGGAGCTTCGGAGCGCATGACTGAGCCGTACCCATATTGCGGTTTTGCGTTTGCGGTTTAGGGGTTTGGGGGTTNNCAGCAACAGCAGCAGCGCCACCACCAGCGCCAGCACCAACACCATCTGCAGCACCAAGAAGCACCCCAGCTGCCAGACGACCACCAACCGCAACAGCAGCAGCAGAGGCAGCAACCGCAACGGCAACAGCAACAACAACAGCACCATAACGATCAACAGCAACTGCCACAGTATCACCATCGTCATCATCATCCTCAGAACATTCATCCTCGCCCTCCTCAACAACATTATCATCATCATCATTATCGCCACTGTCATCATCAACGTCATCGTCAACAGTATCGTCATCGTCGTTGTTGTCCACATCGTCCTCGTCATCATCACCGTTAACACCATCATCGTCACCATAATCATCTTCATGGCCACCATCTTCATCAAAATCATCACCATCATCATCATCATCATCATCATCATCATCACCATCATCGACATCATCATCACCATCATCTTCTTCTTCATCCTCTCCCTCGGAATCTCACGCACCTTTCAGCCCTCAGCCTCTGAAAACCTGAACGTGCCTCTGGTTGAGATCTCCGCGGTTGGACAGAAAGAAGTTCATGGCCTTACGGCCATGGCATCCGGGTCGGCAACCAACGAAGTACAGTACATGTAAGCCAATACTGTTCACACATTAAAAAGACCCGACATATGTACATATATATGTGTGTATATATATATATATATAATGTAGGTAGAAGTTGCACTTGGAAAGCGGGGCACATGGTTTCAGTGTTTGGACGCAGAACTTGAGTCTTAAGTTATGCATCTCTGAGCAAGAGGCGGGGATTTCTTGAAGATGCTGAGGCAGCAAAGACTGAAATCGTTTAGGCTTTAACTTTACTTTGAGGATTTAGGATTGAGGGCTGAATCCCTGCTTCCTTTATAGTGCTTACTCAAAACCGATCAACTTGCCCCAAGCGTACAGGGAGCTAATCCGGACAGCCAGTTCTTTCAACCAGCCCTTGTTTGGCATCCTTTAACTTTGCATGCGCCAAAGAAGGTACAGCACCACACGAGAACAAGACGCGGACCTAAATCATGCTTCTACCGGCAGCAGCGGCAACATTGCGTGTTCTGCACGACCTCCAGGCCGCAACTTGCCGATCCAAGGCCGGAAAGACACTGAGTCTTCTGCCTCCTGGACGATGCTCAGCGACTCCTCCGGAAGTATCCGGGCATCACTGGCTACAAAGCTGATAGCCCAGGCCACCCGTGGGCTCCTTGCCGACCTATCCAAGGGCGATGCTGCGTGCAATGTCCAGCCGTGGTGCCACGTTGCATCTCCGGGCTGTAAGTCTGTGCCTTCGGCTATGCGATAGCGGCTGCTCAAATCGTCTTGCGTGTAGCTGTCTGCAAGATCGCTATGATACTGGAGGGTGTAGTCACGGTGGCTGCCCTGTGCAAACCGGAGTCCCGCGCCTCCTTTTGCTGGGACCGGGGTCAAAGCGAGCCACACCGTCACGAAAGCATTCGTGTCGAACGGAGCCAATGCAAGGTCGGAATGCCAGCGTGTTGGGCCATGTCGGGGGTACTTCATGAAGAGTGCATCCTGGTAAAGGCGAACCTGAGAGACACCTAGCAAGCGAGCTGCCCACAAAGCCAGGCGAGGAGATAGAGCAGCTCGGCGCAACAGATCACTGTGACGATGCAAGTTGAAGTATTGCAAAAACTTCACCTTCCCTGACCTCTCATATTTCTGCAGCATTTGCTTGCAGTCCTGCGTTGTGCGGCAGGATCTCGCAAGAGCTGGGGCAACATGCTGCCTCAACTCGTGCTGCAGAGCTGCCATCTCGCAGATCTCCAGGGACTGGACATGTGCAAGTTCCTGGGCTAGCGAAGAAGCCTCAGGCACAGTCAAGAACGAGGGCACATGGCAGAAGCCATTACGTTCGAAGCGAAGCTGCATCTCCGCACTTGTCATCTCACGATCTTGTGGTCGAGCTGACCAAAGACCTTCAGGACCAGGGCTGTGTTCTGCTCGAAGGATGACGCTGCATCTATCTCGTGTCCTCAGCGTCCCTCGCGGAAACGACGAGAGTGCTCCAAATGCAAGCTGGCCAGCAAGACAGCTGCTAAGCAGTACAATCTTGAACCACAGCGTCGGCTGTAGTCTGTGAGCCCTGGAGCTCGAAAGGCGTGCGGAGGCTGCCGCGCGAAGGGCATACCGACCGCGACGCATGGCTCACACTGGGATCAAACTCTGGCTAGAGGGTGGTTTAATTAATATTCTCTAAATTTCGAGATCTTGAGGTTTTGTCTGAGGATGGTGAGGGCCTATCCTCTGAACCCTACAGTCCCCGGAACCCGAAGGGTCCAAGTACCTAACAATCATATACTCTCCCAAATAGTGACCTACATAAACTACTATCCGAAACCCTAAACCCTAAACCCTAAGTGCCCAACTATTGGGTCCTTTGGACCATTTTGGGAACAAAGGGTTGGGAGTAGAGGAGCCTGCGCTGAACTTGCCATGCGATTGATCTGTGCACTGGGGTGGTCCTCCGAAAAGCCTGGTGGCGTAGGGTTTTGGTTTAGGGGCCAGGGCCTAGGTTTAGGGTTTGGCGTCCTAAAGTTTAGGGTGTAGGGTTCAGGGTTTAGGGGGCTTATAGTTTATAGAGAGCTAAAGAGTGTCCAAATCATTGTCAACAAGGATGTGTTGTAAACTGTCCAGGTGCCCATCAGCCAGAGATTGCCACGCGGAATAGGAAGGAACATAGCTTCAAAGTCTTGAAACTAACAACATTGCCTCGGGAGTGGAGAACGGCGGAGCACCTCCTACGTGGTATACCAGGAAAACTGTACAGAGTCCTCAGTGCAGCGCTTCTGCCTGTGTCTGTCGTATGTAATTACTGATTCCGCGAGTGCAGAAATCAACAGATGTCTCAGGTGTATTTCAAAGACGCAATAGCAAAGAGAAGCACAACAAACAGCATGCTAGACAAACTGCTTGATGCCATGTCTGCAGGAAGCATATTAATCATGTTGCGCCATGTCTGCCCAAACCCTAAACCCTAAACCCTAAACCGCCTAAACCCTAAAGATTCGGGGCACCCGAAGGTCGAGCTGCCTCCTCAAGGCATTGGACTTCGCTACTGGAGGGGATCGGAGGGAAATATGCAGCATGGATGTAGAGATCGGATTTGGATTTAAGTTCAGAGTTAGACGATCAAGAGAAGTGGATTTGCTGACATGAAGAGCAACTTCATCCAAGCTGAGTGCTGCACCATTTTCCGCGCCCCACGCTTTGCCATTACCTTCCCGGTCATGACTACCAGCTATCAAGATTGGGTCACTTATTGCTACTCACAACGCCGTAGTCATCACCATCGTCGTGTTCGTTGTCGGTAGAATTTCAGGTGCGGGGTCAGTTTGACAAACAACAATACTGGGAGGCGTGATTGTCCTGGAATCTAGAAGTGGTATATGTGGCAATGCTGGCGGTGGTCCTGGAGTTTTCCTGTCTTTGTCTTGGTGGCTGTTGCTGTTGTTGCTGTTGTTGCTGTCGTCGTCGTCGTTGTTGTTGTTGTTGTTGCTGTCATTGCTGTTGTTGCTGTCATTGCTGTTACTGCTGTTGTTGTTGTGGTTGCTGCTTTTGCTGCTGCTGTTGTGGTGCTGGCATTTGTTGCCGCAATGCAAATGCGGCAAAGTCGTGGAGTATACAACTCTGGAAGCACCACGCCGCTATGGAAAGGAACCGACATCCAGCAGGGCCTACAGTAAACCCACCAGAGCAACTACCCCAAACCAACAAATGATTGTAAGACCCGCTCCCACATGCTGACCCTAATTCCTCTCAACAATCGTTAACCCTTAAACCCCAAGCCCTCGACTCAATGTGCTGGGTGTCGTGCCTCCGCATCCGAGAGCAAAATAACCTCTGCCAGAATGAGGGACAGCACAGCCTGCCAGAAAGTAGAGCTTGTGGATTGAGTTAGACAGTTTAAAGCTTGTTTTTGGTTAAGGTTTCAGGGTTGTGTTCCGTTCGAGATCGTCGCATTCTGAAGCCGAAGATAACACTTAAAGCCGAAAGGCCGTAATACACGCATGAACCACCTCCGCTTCACGACTGCCCGTGCTGGTTCTACTTGGCCCAGACCTCGCGGCTTCAACGCTGCAACTCAAGACGATTAAACCTAAAGCCCTAAACCTTAAACCTTACATCCCACACCCTAAACCCTAAACCCTGAACCGTTAGCCTCCACCTTATAAGCCCGACATGTTTCGGGACTTCAGACATTGTGCTGTTGAAACGGGGCTGAGCAGGCGATCCCTCCTCTTCCTGCGTCTCAGACGCCCACAGAGCCGTATAATATAGGGGCATTACTAATTATAGAATAGGGTTTTGGGGTCCACTGTACTATAACTATAATAAGGAACCCTCCAAAATAGTATAGGTAATTATTTAGGGCCCTATGTTCGTATCCAGATGTTGGGATTTTCGGCTCAGGGAAGTCCTGAAAGCATGGACCCCTCAAACAGCACGAAGCTCTTCAAAACGCCTCATGAGCTCTTCGAACTTAGCACTCCTTCTTCAACCCTTCATGGACGTAGACTTTAGGGTTTAGGGTTTAGAACCCTCGGAAGCTTTATCCGTAATGCCAAAAACAGGATAGGCCCAACAGTACCAACAATAGTAAAACCAGTAACATCAAAATCACAGTAATAGCAGCCATACATACAATAGTCATAAAAACCGTAATAAGAATGCGGATAAGAATAATAATAGTATTCAAAACTCGAAACCAATTAAACGAAAGCCTGCCTGCAACTCGGGGTGGAACGGCGTCAGCATCTGTGTTGCGGACTGCAGCAGAGGTGCTTGAGACAGCTGAGGCTAGAGGACGCGGCCAGAAATTCTGCTTGGCTGAAGACAAACGGGCTGCGTCTCGGCGCTAAAATGTCAAGTACAGGACTTACCAGCCCAAACGAAAGCCCCCGACCGAGAAACATTCAACTGCGAACCCAAAGGGTCCAAGTACCATTATAGAAGGTACTTGTAGGTATTTAGGCCCCGAAAGTATATACTATACTACTGTGGATGATAAAATCCTGCATTACCTTCAGGACCCTAAACTATGGGAATTGTGGTATATTTCTTACTATGGGTAATGCAGGAGTAATATCATCAACCGTAGTACTTGAACCCTTTGGACCCGAACAGGAAAGCAAGCTTTCATCTGCCGCCCGCTGGGCAAGACCCGGTTCTGTGGCCGTTACCGGTTCCCAAACCCCGCGTGAAATCGCATTATAAATCATGGGCCTTCAGGGAAAAACGCAATGGAACAGCCTACAGCTTTAGCTTTAACCAATCCCATACACCCAGCACTGCAAATGCTGCAGTAAGATGCCATTCTTCTTACGCGATTATGTTCTGCTAGCCTTTTGTTAGTCTTCTCACTGCTGCTCTGTCTTGTTGCTCTAAACCTGCAGCCTTGTGTGGGTGCAAAGCACAACGAGGTGCCCTCCCCTCAAGATTCATCCCCTCAGTCAGGATGTGCAGGATAGCTTGCAAGATGAAGAAACCGTAAATGTCAAAATGCAGCGTGCTAGCATAGCATTGTTCTAGATTGGGATCCCGCCTTTATGCTGTTAAGATGACTGACTACTTATCTGGAAAGAAGCCCGCAAAACCCCTCAACATTAAACTTCATTAAACCCTGAACCCAAACTACCCGTTAAATGCACGAGTACGGTACTGACTGTTGAGCCGTAAAGTCCTGATTGACCCAACACTTCCTGAACCCTAAACCCTAACACCCTAAATCCTAAACCCCTAAACCCTAAACCACAATGTCTTTGCCGGCCTCCGGATCCCCTCGGAGGACTTTCTCTAATACTTCGACCTCGCATGCATCGTCATAGCTGCACTAATATGTAGGGATTTCAGGGCTTGCCTGTACCTCAAACCCTCTTCTAAACACCATATACAATATGAATAGTGGGTCTGCAAAGTACGGGAACAAGTGTTCTGCAGAATCTGCTGCGTTGGTTTGTTCTGGATGATCACGCAGAAGGCAAGGATGACGCCGATGACCATGCTGTTGTTCCTAAACCCTCACCCCTAAACGCTAAACACTAAACTCCTACGTACTCCCACCCCGACTCTGCTCAGTCCGAAACCCTAGGCCCACTCCCACTCCTCTATGTACGTATTGTATGTATGTATGCATGCGAAAGCATGCCTGCATATGTAGCCGAGTATGATCTGTATGTACGCATGCATCCCTGGGTCTGACTATGTATGGATGTACACATATGACGGAAGCACTCGCACCCACGGGGCGCGCTGTTGAAGCCATTATTGCTCGCATCTTGGGGTTTGGGCTTTGGGGTTGAGGGTAACAGGGCTTTAGGGTTCTAGGGTTTAGGCTTCAGGGTTTCAGGGTTGAAGGTTCAAGCTCTAGGGGGGGCGGGGGCATCGTCTTTGGAGTTTCATGCCTCACATTTGAAGCTCCAAACCCCAAACCCGCCCAATAGCCCTAAACCCAAAACCCCCACACCTACATCCGAAACCCCCGCTCCCAAAACCCCTAACCCCTAAACCCCTAAACCCTAAACCCCTAAACCCAAAACCCAGAACCCAAAAACCCTAAACCCTAAACTCTAAAACGCATAAACTCTTGGTCTCCGGACTCCGCCGAGCTGGACGAACTTTTCGCAGATCTGGGCATCGCAGTCGGGGTTTCCGCGGCTTCGGACCAGGGTGTAGGTTTAGGGTTTAGGGTTTAGGGTTTAGGGTTTAGGGTTTAGGGCTTTGGGTTTGGGGTTTAGGTAGACCCAGTGTCCTACTGAACATGACAAAAAAATCCTGCATTACCTTCAGGACCCTAACCTATGGGAATTATGGGTATATTCCTTATTATGGGTAATGCAGGGTTTCTATCATCAAGCGTAGTTCTGACGACGAGCTATGCTTGTACTACACTAGGTGTGCAGCTAGATACTTTCACGACAATGATGATTGCGAGTGCTTTGGCCTGTCTTCCTGTAGCTGAGACATGGGGGTTTCCGAAAATAGGGGACCCTAATATAGTGCCCCAAATAATAGGACCCTTATTATAAGGACCCCAAAATAAGGTACCCCAATTTTCTGAAACTCTCACATGGTGAGAGGCCGTGGAACCTTGGGAGCACCATTCCAACTGGTTCATGTAGTGGCTTTAGGGTTTAGGGTTTAGG